AAAAAAAAAAAAAAAAAAAAAAAAAAAAAAAAAAAAAAAAAAAAAAAAAGCCCTAAATTTCTATGATTTTATCACCAAGTCGCCCATTTTCCCTTGCAACTTCAACCTCCATAACCGTGTGTTATCTCAAACGTTGAAAAAATGCTCACTTCTTTACCTCCTAATTTTTAGTTATCATACTTTTATTTCAAATTATTTGATTATCCATAGCTTTGCGATCTAAGTATTTAAGTAAATTCTTGTCAAACATCCAAAAGTTCTATAATTTAGAAGGTTGAAATATTACTCCAATCTTTCCATTAATATTTAAAACATAAAACATGTTTTGGAATTATAATTTTAGTCTGGTTTTGATAGGTTAAAAAAACATTTTATTAATTTTATGTCCGATGTGACTCTAAATTTTTAATTTTATATCTAATAAATTTATAAAAAAAAATTTAAATGTCGAATAATTCAAAAATCTATTGGACCAAAAATTGAATTCGATAATTTATTAGACAAATTATGGGTATTTACTATTTTTAACTTATTGTTGAGAGAAAAAAAAATGTTGAGAACTTTGTTTATTTTCTTTGTGAATGGATGTTAATTTTAAATTATAATAATTATTTGGTTCATTCTTATTCCAAATAATTTGGTGGGCAAAATGACAAATGTAAACTAATTTTAAAAGAAAAGCTCCAAAATGGGATGGAAAAAGGTGGGCAAATTGGTCATTTTGACAGCTGTGATTTTCCATAATTGCTTTCAATGTCGTCCAATGGTCGGATCCTATCCATTATCAACCTATTATCTTTCAAATAATTGATTTTTGTACGCCACAAACAAAAAATAAAAATAATTAATCATTCGTGTTAAATAGATAGATTTTAACGATTAATATCAATTTTATCATCAAGATTTCAATTAAAAAGAAAAACGAAACATTTCTTGATTGAATAAAAAAAATGAAAATAGAACTTTTTATTAAAAATGGCACCTTGGCAAATTCGACACGTGTTAAACAACATAAATATAAATAAATAATATATAGAGAGATTGACATTCTATTCAATATCTACCCCAACCATGAAGAGAATTTAAAATTTGCAAGCAATTATTATTTTATTTAAATATTAAATTGAAATAAAATTGTCCAATTGGGCAATTTTATATAATTATCCGACATAATTTTCAAACCAAGAAAGTCCCTCTCACCTTCCTATACTAACGTCTCAAAAAAAAAAGAAGCTATTTTCTCAATTTTTAATTAACATATTTATGGCTTCTAATTTGGATTAAAATGACATTAGACTTATTTATCAATTATTTAATAACAAAATTAATTTGCTAAGAATAATAAAATTAACTCGATCTAATTAGTTTAGTTACTCTTAATTTTTATTTTTATCCTCATTTTAAAATTAAGAAAATTAATAATATTTGTTAATTAAAATTTAATATGTGAGTTTGGATCACA